GTCCTTGGCTCCAATCCTCTGGTTCCTAGGCAGTCCCCAAGGTGCTGGTGGTATGCCTGGGCCAGAACTAATTTTTTGTCCTTTGCTTACTTCTAAAATGGGGGAACTTCCTGTGGGAACCAGTACTTGAGCTGTGTGGTTGAGTTAAATTGCTGCTTTGCTGCTCTTTCCCTAGGGAAGGCTTTTTGTGAAGCTCAAGGTTTAATGGTTACCTTATAGGTACTTCTGGCTCTCCAGATACTCGGTGCACCTGGGTTGTGTAGAAACTCTGATCTGAGCCTGAATTTTTTCATCAAACTGTACCCTATGCAATTCTGCATTCCTGACCAGCAGTCTCCTCTGAGTGGTCCTGCACTGATTGGGGAGTGGATTGGCTGTCCTTGCTGTGTCCCAGTGTTTTCCTGGTGGGCCTGTTTCCACCACCACCCGAGCTCCAAACACTTCCCATGGGACAGGCCCTGCGCTGGTCTGTTGCAATGACTCACCAGCCTCTGAATGACTCCGCTTTTCTCAGTTGTTCTGGTTCCTTGCTCCTGCGTGGGTCCTCAGGAACCCTATTAGTGGTCTTGCTGTCCTGGGGGCCGCCAAGGCCCTCTTCTCCACTGCTGCCTCCAAGTAACTCCATCTGAAGGGCACAGCTGTGGCTTATGCTGGCTCCTGTTCCATGTGCTCAGCAGCTCCAGTCTTAAAGCGGTTGCAGCCCAAAATGCTCAGAGCAGTATTTTCTTTCTCTCATCGTGGTTTCTCCTGCCTTCATGAACTCTGTACGTCTCTCCTCCTCTTCTCCTGAGCTCCAGCAGCCCCAGCTTGGCTGGCGTTACATTTTTATAGTTGTAAATTGGTTGATTTGTGGGAGAGAGTGATGCTGGAATCAGTCTATTCCGCCATCTTGACCGGAATCTGCTGTACATCTGAATTTCTAACCCATGCGTTTTCTTGCACTCTGAAGAATTTCTTTTAAGATTTCCTGCAAGGCAGGTCTCCAGGCAAAAAATTCCTTTTGTTTTTGTTGAGTGTTTATTTCTCTTTCAGTCTTGAAGGATACTTTTGTTGTATAAAGTTTTGTGTTGGGTTTTTTCATTCAGCCCCTTCAACATTTCCACTGTGTTCTTGCATAATTTCTGATATGAGAAATCCAATGTAATTCTTATTCAAGTTCCTCTATAGATACAGTGTCTCTGGTTTTTTGGTTTTTTCTGGCTTCTTTCAATATGTTTGCTCTGTCTTTGGTTTTCTGTAATTAGAATATGATATGTCCAGTTGTAAATTTGTTGGTATTTATCCTGCTTGGTTTTTTCTGAACTTCCTGGATCTGTGGTTTGGTGTCTATGACTAATGTTGTAAAATATTTAGCCATTATTATTTCAAATATTTTTTTCTTCCTTTCTCTCTTCTCCTGGTATTCCCATTACACATGTGACACTTTTTATGATTATCCCACAGTTCTTGGATATTCTTTTCCACTTTTTTCTTCATTTTTTTCATTGTACATTTTTATGGGGTACATTTTGTTGTTTCAGTACTTGCACATATTGTATGATAATCTAATCAAAATTGTTAGCAGGGCCGGCCCCATGGCTCACTCAGAAGAGTGCAGTGCTGGGAGCGCTGAGGCCACAGGTTAGGATCCTATATAGGGATGGCTGGTGCACTCACTGGCTGAGCGTGGCGTGGACAACACCGGGCCGAGGGTTGCAATCCCCTTTCCGGTCAAAATAATAAAATAATAATAATAATAATAATAATAATAATAATAATAATAATAATAATAATAATAATAATAATAATAATAATAATAATAATAATAATAATAATAATAATAATAATAATAATAATAATAATAATAATAATAATAATAATAATAATAATAATAATAATAATAATAATAATAATAATAATAATAATAATAATAATAATAATAATAATAATAATAATAATAATAATAATAATAATAATAATTGCTAGCATATCTGTTCCCTAAACATTTATCATTTCTTTGTAGTTATAACATTCAAGATTGTCTTTTCTGGCTATCTTGAAATATACAGTGCAATTTTATTAGCTAGTGTTACCATAGGGCACCGGAACTTATTCTTCCTATCTAACTGTAACTTTGGAACTTTGTACCAGTCTACCAACCTTTCCCCTTTCCCATCCCCTTGCCCCCCATCTCTGTCTCTGGTAACCACTATTCTAGTCTCTATTTCTCTCTTTTTCCCCCTCTTTTAAATCTATTTTTCTTAATTGACCCATGATAATTGTATATATTTGTGGAGTACAATATGATATTTGGATATATTTATACTGTGTGCAATGATCATATCAGGGTGCTTAGTATATCCCTAACCTCAAACATTTGTCGCTTCTTTCTGTTAGGAACATTCAACATCATCTTGATAGCTATTCAAAGGGACATAGTACTTTGTTGTAACTGTAGCCTCCCTCTGCTACTATAGAACGGTAGATCCCATTCTTTATCTCTAATAATTTGTATCCACTGACCACCATCTCCCTATCCCCCCCTCACCCTGCCCCCACCAGTCTCTAGTAACCACTATTTTACTATCTACTTCTATGAGATCAACTCTTTTAGTTTCCATATATAAGTAAGAACATATGGTATTCCCTCTGTGTGCCTGGCTTATTTCACTTACTATTTTCTCCAAGCTCATTGGTGTTGCTGCAAATGGCAGGATTTCATTATTTTTTATGGCTTAGTAGTATTCCATTGTGTATGTATACCACATTTGCTTTATCCAGTCATCCATTGAAAGACATTTAGGTTGGCTCCAACTCTTGGCTATTGTGAATAGAGCCACAATAAACATGGGAGTGGAATGAGATTAAAGCAGTAATCAGCAGGCTCCCAACAAAGAAAAACCCATCTGTTCTTGCATGTTGTCTACTTTTTCCATTAGAGTCCTTAGCATGTTAATCAGAGTTGTTTTAAATTCTTTGTTTGACAATTCCAACACCCCTGCCTTATCTTAGTCTGATTCTGATGTTTAATATATTCCTTCAGATTGTATTTTTCCTTATATGTCTTGTAATTTCTTTTTTTTTTTTTCCTTTTTGTCTTTTTTCGTGACCAGTAACGGGATAGCAACCCTCGGTGTCGCGCCCGCACTGCGCTCAACCAGTGAGCGGACCGGTCTCTACATGGGATCCGAACCCTCGACGGGAGGGTCCGCACCCTCTACCGAGTGCACCACCGGGCCGGCCCTGTCTTGTAATTTCTTGATCGAAAGCAGACATGATATATCAGCTAATTAGGCTTTTAGTATGAGGTTTTATGTTAATCTGAGTAGGAGTTGGGCTGTGTTTAATGTTTGTTGTACTTATAAGTGCCAGGGGCTTTCAGTTGTTTTCTACTGTTGTTTTTGGGTTTCTCTAAGGATTCCTTCTTAGAGTCTCTACCTTCCAGCTCTCATAGTCATAATCAACTGTTGTACTGAAAGCCTGTTGATGTGGTGGTAAGGCGTAAAGCTAGGGCTAATGTCAGAATCCTGCCGATGTAGTCAATTGTAAAGCTACACAACTATGCCAGTTGTTGAGTAAGGCAAATCATAACTAAAGCCAAAATGTTTCATTGTTTTAGTTAATAACCCATTGTACAGACTGGGTCCCCAGACCCCTCACACACAGGTCCATGCTAGGTAATTGGGAAGGATCCCAGGAGCTGTTGGCAGATGACATGAGCTCAGTCCTCAGCAATGGCAGCAGCAGCTTATAGGTCTGGTGGCGGTGGTAGCCTTGTGGAGGGTCCCGATGGCACTAGCAGCAGCAGCAGTAGCCTCCAGCGTCAGTAGTGGCCTCCCCATGCCCCCCCTCCAGGGGGCATCCCGGAGGTGGGAGGCACTGTGGGGCAGAGCCACTCATCCTTTATACTTGTCCATAATCCAGGACACCTGGGTGCACATGTGCAATTACCAAGGAACACCTGGGTGCATGTGCATATTTACATCAAATGCTGGCGAGATTCTGAATATATGAGGGGCCCTGACCATTTTCCTGTATTTTCCCAACATAAGGTATTTGGAAAACATTCTGTAATCTTAAGATCATGTCTCTATTTTTTAGATGGCCTGAATCCCTGGGCTGGGACCTTCAGAAGTAGTTTGTTTGTTTCTTCCTCTTATAAGACTAAAGTAGGTTAGAATTGTCAACCCTTTACCTAGGTCACATAATTCTCTAATAAAGTAGTTTCCCTTAAGTGGAAGGCCTTTGTTATAGTAAATAATCTAGTGTATTTTGAAATAGCTGCTCCCCCCACCTCCACTGTATTTCAGAACAGTTACTTTCCTTTCCTCTGCCCTGCCTGAAACAAAAGAGGCTCCTGATCTTAACTAGCAGAAACTGGTAGGGTTTCTGGGGGTAAACTTAGAAAGTTTGGGGGCTCACTTAAGACTGGCCCTCAGGAATTTTTAACTCAAGCTAGTCCATATTCAGCCTCCAGCAATGTGACAGCTACCATTTTATTTCTCCTACCACTTACTGGCTGCAGCAGCTTCTGCTCCTGGTAAGTAAGCTGATCTCAACTGCGATTCTCTATGTTTGCCTGTCCGTCCAGTTTTTCCTGTGATTCACTTCTTTGATGGATGTAAGAAAAGCCATTGACTTTCAGTCTGTTCAGTTTTTTTTTTTTTGCTGTTGTGAAGACAGGTGTGATAACTTCCAAGCACTTTACATGTCAGAGCTGAAGCTGGAAGTCACCCACGTACTTTTATTTTTTAAGTCCTGTCCCCCAGTTTTTCTCTTTAAAGTGCACCTGAAATAACCAGCTGAGGATCCTTCCCTGACTTCTCTCTGCTAAGTGAAGAGCTCCTCCCTGTGTGCTCTAGTACTTGGTGCAACTACAAGTATTACTCTCACTCTCTTGGCTCTGTGATTCTTTGACTGCGTGGAGAACAGGTGTTAGGACTTCTCTTTGTATTTCTAACATATGGTATAAATCAGTGTCTGCTTAATTGGAGGGAAAAGAAACAAACACTCTTCGCTAATTAAAAACAAAGTACTACTTTTATTTGGCTCATTTCTCCATTTATTAGAATAAACACATTTGGAGAGGCACAAAGCACTTAAGTTTTTACATGACTACAAAGTTATCACAAATCCTAAACTTTTTAGCCACAGATATTTTACCTTCTCCATTTAAAGGAAAAGCTTTCAAAACATCTGAGTTGCTTTATACACAGAGACCCTGAATATATGGGGGCTACATAATTTTAAATGCTTGTACTTCCTGTTTTAATAATTTTGTCTTTAAATGGAATCCAGCATGAAAGGAATTGAAATGTATAAGATCATGATGCAAATGCTTTGAAGAGATAGTGAAATTAATCTGCACTACACGAAAAAAGATGTGGTGTGCACAGAAGTTCTACAAGGATTCACTGAGCCATCTGGGCTTCCATGGCTTGTGCTGTCCATTCTGGTGCTGTTTGACTAATTTTCTCCAAAAGGTTATTCACTTGGAAACAAAGTGATTGGATCTGTTTGTCCCATGTTGGCAGGGCTTCTCGTGCTTAAAAAAAAAAAAAAGGAAGAAAAGAAAAGAATGTACAAAACTGAAATTACCCCTTTATATTCATAGCAAAAAAGATAAATATAGTAATATTAATTTTAAAAAGCTTATTCCAAAATCTTGGCTATCAAAATTAAGTTCATGGTTAAGAAATCACTGGCACAAAGTGTAAAAAAACAAAATCATACACTTGTATACACAGATACATGTTATCCTATTATTACTCATGAAAATAAAATAAAACCAACCAACTGAACAACCTCAACCACACCACCAGCACTAAAAAGAGACAGGCTCACTGAAGCTGTTTTTTCATTACTAGTGATTACTGATTTTACAAGACACTGTCACCTGCTGGAGAAAGCAAGTCTATTTATACATTCAAGGCTGTCTCCACCTGACTCTGAAGGACAAATATTACATATCGTTTACACCGAAAACAACAACAAAATCTTCTTGGTTTTTCTGTATACCAGCGATATATAATCAGAAATGAAAAATTGGGAGGAACATCCCATTCAAAACAGCACAAAACTTACAAAAAAAGGGCCCAGATTTAATGGAAAAAACAAAGTATAAAATCAAATAAAGAAAAAATAACTTGAGTAGACACAAATCACATTCCCAGATAAAAATATGCAAGATCACACTGTGAACAAGCCACAGGACTGCTTACTTTAAAATGGTTAGCTTTATGTTATGTGCATTTCAATTCAATTAAAAAAATAGTAGTAGGGGGGCGTAAGTTGCTTTATCTACAGTAAAATTTACTATAAATTTGTTTATGACCATATTGTTACACATCAGTGGAACCAGAGTACAGAAATAGATCCAAACATATATGTGGAACCTAACGTATGTCAAAGACACAATGCAATCAGAAAGAATGTTTTATTTAATAAATGACACTTACATAAGGCTATTCATCTAGAAAAAACTAGACCATACCCTAAAATTATACACAAAAATGAACAAAAGATGGATTAGATTTCTAAATATAAAACAATAAATAAAAATATTAGAAGAAATTTTAGGAAAATACTAGTTTTACCCCAAAGTGGGAGTATTTCTTAATCAATACAGAAAATTCAAAGCCATAAACTAAAAAATTGACATATTTGGCTGCATAAAATTTTTTTAAATGTTTATGGTATGCATTGCCTTCCAGAAAAACAACTGACAGAATGAGAAAAACATTTGTAACACATATAACAGACAAAGTTACAGTTACCATTCTACCAAAAGCTATAGCAAATTGACAATGGAAGGGCAGAAGGGGAGGTGTGGGGGAAGGGACGAAATAGACAAGAAAAAGTAACATTAATTTACACAAGTGGAAATGCCAGTGGCTAATACTCTTACATTGAAAGATATTAAATTTCACTAGTGCCAAGAAAATGTGCATTCTGACCCCCAGCCGAACCAAAAGCAGGATGTCATGAGGCTGCTCCCGCGCGTGGCCCTGCTGTGGTGAGGCAGCCAACCGTGCCCCGGGGCTGGAGGAAGCCAGGGACTGTGACGGCAGGGTCTACATCAACCACAACACAAGGAGGACCAGCTGGATCCATCCCCGGGACAGGTTAACCAAGCCCTTGTCATTTGCTGATTGTGTTGGGCATGAGCTGCCGTGGGGATGGGAAGCAGGGTTTGACCCTCAGATTGGTGTCTGCTACGTCGACCACACCAACAAAGCACACCAATAGAAGATCCAAGAAAACGGTGGAGGGGGGAACAGCTGAAAATGCTCAAGGACTCTCTCTCAGTGCTCAGGATGCACTCAGGACACAGAAGGAGCTGTGCCACGTGAAGCCACAAAAACTGGCTTTGGCCCTGCATGAATAAGTACAATTAAATGATGCCTATAGGGAAAAGTCAAGTTCTTGCACGAGCCCATTCTCAGGATCTTCATCCAATACTAAATATGATCCTGACATTTTAAAAGCTGAGATCTCCACTACATGATTAACGGTTAAAAAGCTGAAGAGAGAACTCTTACAGGTGAAGCAAGAACCGCTCTATAAAGAACACGGCTTTGACAAGTGATTATTACCCTTCTAACTTAATTTGACAATTGATTTTTAATCCCCACCTATAGCCAGCCAATAAACGGGTTTTGGAGCACTCCAACGCAAATGCATACTCTGCACCTCCTGCATACACAGTAAGTAAGGCAAGCAATGGGTATTTTTCTTGGTAAGAAAGAGATAAATGGGGTCGGGTGGGGTGGCAGAGATTCCCAAGCCAGCCTCCACTCCAACCATAGCAATATTGAAAAATATTATGGAAAGCCAAGATTTTGAACTGAGCTCCTGTGCTAGGCCCCAGCAAACCAGAACAAATCCAATTGGAGTAACTCATGCTAAATGCCACATAATCAAACTGAAACTTTAAGAAAGCAGACAGATCTCAAAACAGATCAGTTTTCCCTGAAAACAGGAGATTCCTGTCCACCTGAGTCAGCATGATCAGGAAGTTCCCTCTGCTTTAACCTTTGCACAAAAAGTAACCTGAAGTAACCTGATGTTAACCAATCAGCTTTTTTTCCTATTGTTCTGTTTCCTTATTTCCACCTTACAAAGGTGGGGAGCTCTCATTCTATTTTGCAGAATGAAGGCTTCCCCAGTTTATGAATCATAGATAAAAGCCAATTAGGTTTATTTTAAAAAACGAGGCTTTGAAACAGTGCAACAAATAGGTAGAAAAAAATGTCTGGAGGCCAGAGTGGGTATGAACTTAGTGAAGCCAAAGCATTCTAACTGAACTGAAGTCTATCAGAAAGGCTGTTAGCTCAGGAGAAAAGAAAAACAAGATCTGATGCAGAGTCTTGCTAAACTGCAGGAGCGGTTTCATTTGGATCGGAACATTGGCAGATCTGAGCCAGATTTGAGATCCAGTCCCGTGAACTCTCATTTATCTCTCTCCAGATAGACCCTGATGCTGGGTCACAAACCAGCATTCCTGGACATGTCGGAGTGAGAAGTAGATCAAATTTAGCTGAAAAGGTCAGGCTGAGCCTACAGCATGAAGAAGCCAAAAGAAGGTGGGGCTTCTGGTCAAGATGGCAGAATACGTGGTCCCCAGCATCACTCTCTCCCACAAATCAACCAATTTACAACTATTAAAAAGCAACAATATAGGGCTGACCCGTGGCTCACTCGGGAGAGTGCAGTGCTGATAACAGCAAGGCTACGGGTTCGGATCCTATATAGGGATGACCGGTTGGCTCACGGCTGAGCGTGGTGCTGACAACACCAAGCCAAGGGTTGAGATCCCCTTGCTGGTCATCTTTAAAAAAAAAAAAAAAAAAGCAACAATAGCCAAGCTGGGGCTGCTAGAGCTCAGGGGAAGAGGAGGAGAGACCTACAGAGTTCACGAAGACAGGAGAACCACAATGAAACAAAAGATTGCTCCCACCATTTCAAGCCCCAGCCACTTCAAGGCTGGCCCTGGTGAGCACATAGAGCAAGAGCTGGCAAAAGCCACTGCTGTGTCCTTCTTTGTGAAGTTGCTTGGAGGCAACACAGGAGAAGAGGGCCTTGGTGGCCCCCAGGCCAGCGAGACCACTAACAGGGTTCCCATGGACCAACATAGGAGCGAGGGGCCACAGACAACGAAAAAAAAGAGCCACTCAGATGCTGGTGAGTCATTGCAAGGGACCGGCGCATGGCCCATCCCATGGGAAGTGTTTGGAGTACAAGTGGTGGGGGAGACAGCCCCACAAGGGGAACACTGGGACACAGCATGGACAGCTAATATGCACCCCAGTCAGCACAGGACCACTCAGTGGAGACTGGTCAGAAATATGGAACCATAGGAGGTGTAGTTTGCTGAAAAGCCTCCAGCTCTGACCAGAGTTTCTACACAATCCAGGTGTGCCAGGCCTCACAAGACTGGGAAGTATACACAAGGTCAACAATTAAAACCTGAGCTGCACAAGAAGTCTTCCCTAGGGAATCAGCAGCAAAGCAGCAATTTAGCTCAACCATAGGGCTCAAGTGCTGGTTCCCACAGGAAGTTACCCCGTTTTAGAAGTAAGCAAAGGACAACAAATTAGTTCAAGGGCAGAGTTTAAGTGGTGGGAACAGTGAATAATCCAACACAGAATTGAAAGAGAAAACAAAATACCCACAGCTCAGAGACAAAGTTTGATATTAACTAGTCTACTACCACCAAAGAACACCTATAAAACCTAGAAGGACTGGAAGTGCGCCAGGCTCCCAAGCTGGGGTGGTGGGGGACTGAGGGCTTCAGCCACACCCCCTGATGACCACACCCAGCTCAGCAACAACCACGGAGCCTCCTCCACAGGAAGCACCCCAAGTTCTCCCTAGCCGGGGTGGTAGGGGGTCAAGAGCCTTGGCCATGCCCCCCAGACACCCACAACCAGCCCCACGATTACCACTCAGCCACCTCAGGAAGTGCCCCAGACTCCCGAGCCCAGGCAGTGGGGGACTAAGGGCTTCAGCCATGCCCCCCACAACACGCACACCAAGCCCAGTGATGACCACCCAGCCATAGCCACAAATGCCCCAGGCTCCCGAACTGGGGTGGTAGGGGACCGAGGGCTTCAGTCACACCCCTGTGACATCTGCATTCAGCCCAACGATGACAGACCAACCACTGGAAGCTCCCTTGTCTCCTCTGCTAGAATGAGGGGTGCCATAGGCCTGGACCAGGCCCCCTTCCTTCCTACTCCTCCCACTCTATTTCCTTCCCCCTTCCCCTCTCCCCATTCTCCCCAACTGCTCCACAACAACATCATAGAATGTCAAAAAGTAATAATAACAACAAATAAATAAGTTTTAAAAAAATTAGTTTCTTGAGGTTAGAAAGAAACTAGAAAAATATTTTTTATATTTTATCAACTTGATATAAATAAAGTTAAATTGTCCTTTCCCATGGTGACAACTCTGCTATACTACTCATCATATACTGGTTGTTTATTCAATACTTATTTATTTCTCATTTACAATGTGCTGAGCACTGGAACAGATGTTGGACATACCATGAAACATGAGACAGACATAAACCTACCACCAGGAAGCTTAGCTTAGAAGCGGAAACAGACATTTAGAAAAATAGTTGCACAATTGGAAATAAGATTAAAGCTAGGAAGAAATTCAGGGTGACTTGAGCACATAAAATTTAAAGCCATTATCTAATCTGGAGAGTCAGGAAAATCATTGATAAACATTGCTCAAAGTGAGACATGGAACAAACAGAAGATGGCTGGAGAGGGGTGGATATTTTAGAATGTCTGATGGGGAAAAAAACTTACAATGCTGAAAAAAATGAAAAGAACTTCTATGTGGCTGGATTGGAAAGAAAAAGCTAGAAAGTACTAGGCAGGGCTTTTTGGAGACTTGGTAGAACTTTGTTCTACAAGCAATGAGGAAGCCATTCATCAGAGTGCAAGCAAGAGAATAACATAATTTAATCATTTGGTTTTTGGATTTTTTTTTAATGTTTTCATTTTTAAAAGACCATAATCATTCTGGCTGTACTAGGGGAACTAAACTAGAAAGGAGCAATTCTACATGTGAGAAAAAAAGTTAAGAGGTTCTTTCTGAAGACCTGAAGAGGTTATGATAACAGAGGATTGTTGATAGTAAGAAATGAAGAAAAGTACATGAATTCCAGATATAACTAGGAGGTAAAATTGATGAGATGCTGGGCAGTGAAGGACAAGAGGGATCAAGGATAAGGAATGCTGGAGAAAATGAACAATGCGGTTTTGGGATGGCTGGTTGGGAGGTTGGTCCTGGGGGCCATACAGGAAGAGGAGATAATGAATTCAGTTTTGGACACGTTCACTCTAAGATGCCCACGAAGCAATCAGGTAGAAGCACCATAGAAGTCCATTAAACCATGAGTCTCAGACTCAGAAGAGGGATTTGCACTGACAGGTAAATCTACGCATTGTTTACATAGAGACAGTAACAGAATCAAAGGGAATCGATGAGATTAC